TCTATCTATCTATCTATCTATCTATCTATCTATCTATCTATCTATCTTGGCTAGTCCTATTACAGCATATTGTTATAACTGTCCTATTTGATTATTTATTATTAGTTATCGCTGATAATCTTTCCCTGGGTCTAATTTATACATTAAATGTTAGCATAGGTTTATCTTTTTAGGGAAAACACATAGTGAATACAGGGGTGGGCCTTATTTTTTGCTTTGGACTTCTCCAGAGCTCTCTTCGCAGATAAGTGCCAACTCTGTGCTGCAGAGAGCAAGTGAGGCCCTGAGGAAATGCCGCCGACACGGGCAGGGCAGAGCCTCTTCAAGGCCCCCAATGCCTTAACCCATGAAAGTGGCAAAGCGTTCCCCAGGTAGGGCTGAGAGGAATGGCAAAGCCTTCCTGGGGGAAGCTCAGAGGCAGGGGAAAGGCGTGCTCTGGTCCCGTGTGGATGTTGACAGTGTGGGCAGTAAATGTCCATCACAGCTTTTTGCCTTGGATGAGCCTGAGGACTACAGAGACAGCTCCTATCCAGATCAGCTAAACCTTGACTCAGCTCTTGACCACAAATGCTGCCTCCTGCTGGGCTGTATGTGTTGACCAAGCCTCCCTGGGCATTGTGTATAATACATAAGCTGAGCTTCCAGGGCGTTGTTGGTTCTCCAAAAGCCAGCCCAGTCCACCCAGTCCCAGCTTTCCTGTGTGTCCTTGTGTCTGTCTTTTCTTCACTCCCTTGCTGCCCTACTTAGGGTTCTAGGACCCAAAGATAAAGTGACTTAGGAGCCTGGGGAGATAGCTCAGTCAATGAAATGCTTATCTCAGAATCCCTGAGAACCTGGGTTCAATCCCCAGCAACCACATAAAAATTCCAGGCATGGTGGTGCATGCCTGTCATCCCAGCACTGGGAGAGATGAAGACAGGCTCCCCTCGGGCTCACTGGCCAGCTGGGCTGGCTGAATTGGTAAGATCCTAGCGTGTGTGTGTGTGTGTGTGTGTGTGTGTGTGTGTGTGTGTGTGTATAAAAAGCCAAAAGCAAAACAAAACAAAAATGAAACAAAGGAAGTAGGTGTGGTCTATTGTCTGTTTTGTTTGTTTTGTTCTTGTTTTTTTGAGACAGTGTTTCTCTGTGTAGCCTTGGCTATGCTAGACTCTCTTTATAGAATAGCTCAAACTCACAGAGATC